ACACTGTAAGATTTCATTTCCAGCTGCCAGGTGAAATGAACTAAGTCCTTAAGATACTCTTATTAGTTACATATTTTAGAATTCAAATTTATAGACTTAAGATTATTTTAAATGGTAGTTTATATTTTTATGTTATAAATTAAAATTCATAGTGTTTTTAAATTAAGCATCAAATGGTAAGGTTTTGTGAGCCTGTATTTTCAAATTCCATGGGTTTAAAAAGATATTTACCCCAGTGGAATGAAGTTTCTTGGAATTTTTATTTTTAAAATTAATGGAAGAAGTGGGAACATTTGTTCACATGTACAAACAGAAAGTAAATTTTCCAATGATATATGCTTTAGAGGAAGGTAACAAACTGAAACTGGGGAACTGCATGTTCCACCACAGTATAAAAGTGACAGACAGAGATCAGGTCAGAGGTAAGACTGACGACTATAAATCATCTTCTTCCCTCAACAACACAATCCTTATCCTCCCCAAGGCTGTTGTCTCTCTCTCTGTGTGTGTGTGTGTGTGTGTGTGTGTGTGTGCGCGCGTGTGCGTGTTCGTCTGTCTGTCTATCTGTCTTCCACACATCCCACATCTCTCCTTTTCTTTGACTTTTCACTCTTAGGTTGTGTTTTATGTTAACTCTGGAACTCTGGAAACATTACACATGACATTATACCCTTCAACTACTCCAGGTTAACACTCAAACTGAAAAAATTAATTACAACAGTGTTGTAAATTTCATAATACCGTGTGCTAAGATGTTCTTCATCATTGAACCAAAATATCTCAAAAAATCAACTCAAAAATGGAAGGACTTGTTTAGGATCCCAGTTTTAGAGGCTTCAAAGAGTGGCCATTTGGTTTTACAGCAAATATTTCAAGACAGATATCCATCACAATAATGGGAAGATGCTTGCTTGCCTGGGAGCCAGCCAGGACAAAGAAAAGATGCAGAGACACAGAGCAAGAGATAAGGGTCCAGATTCAAGATGTGCCTTTAAAGGCAAACCCCAACAACTGTCAGCTATCTTTTTACCCATCTGACCAGAAGCCTTGCCACGTTTTGCCCTATGGGTGGGTAACTTCACCTCCAAACACTTAGCCTGCTCTATGGTCTTTGCTGCTACACCCCAAATGGTTACATAGCTATCTCAGAGCTATAGACCCAGACTTCTCACTTTGTATAGGACATCTCTAACTGAGTTCTCAAAATTTACCTCTACAGACTCTTTCTCTAAAACCCATCGTCCCCTGTATTTAGCTCATCAATGGCATGGCTGTCTATCTCATCACTCAAATCAAAGAGCGGAAACCTGTTTGTTCATCTCAAAATAATGAGACCCATTGTTATCTGGGATCTCTAGCCTAATCACTGTTCAGCTAAACAATTACAAGCACCCTATACCAATCTCTACCTCTGTTCTCAACCCTTTTAATCCGTCTCCATGTTGATGCCCAGTAAAAGCACAGAACTAATCACGAAATACACTTTATTTAAAATGTCAGGGTGGTAAATCCAAAATGCTCCCCAGACTCTCTAAGTCCTAGTCTTTCTTCTTAGCTGTGATTATGCCCTTCCTTAGTACTACAACCTCAACAGCAACTGGTTCAAACCACCGTTCAGTCAACCCGTCTTGTGATTCTACAGTAATGGTCATTTGCCCTTGATACTTTCCCTCAACTACCTTTCAGTTCAGCTTTGATTTACTTCCTCTGCAACGCCTTTCTTATTCTTCCAACATTTGTGAGTACAGCTCCTGTATTTATATTTCTATTATATTTATATCACAAATATGTATTTATATTTTATTGTAGCAAACATACTTCTTATACTTTTTTGACTTATTTATGTAGCCCACCAATTTTCTAGAGGGTGATAGAGTCTGCACACAGTTTACTTTGTATTTAGTAAACAGGATTAAACAAAAGACAATTCCAATTTCAAATCCGTTTGAAAGGTGACAGGAAGTCATAAAATTACAGCTGGCCCACTGATTGTCTTAGCTGGGCTCCATAAGCTAAAAGTGGTCAAAGACTTGGTCCAACAGCACCAGCAGGCACCTGGGTAGGGACAAAGGGAACCACTGACACTGGCCTACTTCCTTCATCAGACCACAGACTACAAGCCCCAGTTCTAAACTCTTAAGACAAGACACCAATGTAACTGCTGAATTGAATTCATCCCTCAGTAAAAGTTTCACTCTGTACAATGGTCAGGAGTGCTTATTAGTCAGGCATTGTTTTAGAAGGGTAGAGCTACAGCTTTTCGGTAGTTCTCAGAAGAGCCCTTCACTTCAAAACTATTACTCATCCATGATTCACATACACGAAGCAAATGCTGAAAAGAATATATTGATAATTTTATAAGGAAAAACAAAATATTTTTAAATATTGCATATGCTATATGTTAAGTTCAACAAACTTAAAAGTTTAAAATATTTGCATGCCAATTATTAATTTTGATACCTCCAAATTAAGTTACTTAAAAGTTCAAAACCCAGGTGTCCTTCTGAATCTGAGTCATAGAAAGGAGAACCATGGCATGTTTAAAAGCTACTCCTTCTGACAGCTGATATAAAAAGCTAAAGTCTAGCACAGAAAGGAACAAAGGATACTGGACATTATTATCAATCACCATGCTGCAGATATAGGTTAATTTATTGAAAAAAGTAGCAAAAATGAAATAGGCATAAAAAGTGAAAGTAGAGAAAAACTAAATATCCTCACTCTCTTAATCCACATATCCAATATGGACAGACACCTATGGTCATTTTTATGGTACTTTACATTCATAAGCATCAGCACATCTATAAAGATGTCAACAGAAGAGAAGACTTACTGGCACCTAGAAGGTAACTGTGAGTTTAGGGCTGAAGATACAGCACAAGAGTAGAGCATTAGACCCCAAGCTCAATCCCTTTACTAGGAAAAAACAAAAAGGATAGTCTAAATCCAAATACCTTAAATCCAGGACTTATTGAATTACAATTTGGATATTTTTTAACACTATACAAGGGACCAGCCTTAAATCCAGAAAACAGCACAATGACCTTGCACAACCATAGTGGACATGGACGGTTGGTCCAATTACAGGAACAATGTTCAAACAAAGGCATGCACCTGTTCCTGCTGTGTGTGAGAGACAAACAGGGGAAACCCACAACCACAACTGACCAAGTGCGGTTCCAGTGCCACAGAACTTCAAGTAAGTCACGCCTCTCTGGGGGGAGGTTACAACGATGCTGATGAAATAATGAACGAAAGAAACTACATGCCTGGCACTAAAAGAGGCCCTTCGTTTCCTTCCTTTAAAGATGGTGTTGAAAATGAGTGGCCAAGGCAACAGGTGATACTTCTGATAGAGATGCAGACAGAGGGAGGGAGGGAGGGAGGGAGGGAGGGAGGGGGGGCGGGAGAGAGAGAGAGAGAGAGAGAGAGAGAGAGAGAGAGAGATCGATCCAAAGATCTGTCCTACCAATTGCTGCTGCAGAAAGACTATATATATATGTATATACTGGTGTCACAGTGACTTTATATACATCAATATTCACCGGGTCTTAAACAGCATCTAGCAAGGTCTTGTGTGTTTCTAATCTCTCTCCTCTTCTCTCTCTCTCCCCTTTCCCTCTTTTCTCAGCCCCATTGATTCTATATAAATACTTGAGGTGATTTCCCACCTAGAGCACACACTACCACAATCACTACACCGAGCTCCTCGTCAGAACTCTCATATCGTACTTGGCAGAGATTAAGAACTGAGTTTCTTATCATCAAACCTACAAACATCCCTGTGCCTCCTTCCATATCACAGCAGCAGAGACGAACTCCTCATTCTTAGATGTCCCAGTCTGTGTGCAATAATACACTCTTCTCTGACCTCCACTTCTATTTACCCCTTGTGGTACCAATCTATGCTCATCTACCTCTCCTCTGTGTGAGCGTCAGAACAGCTAACACTCTCCCAGACAATCGGCATGCTTTGCCAGGTATCACCCTTTACATTCATCACAGCTGAGGCTCTTGAATGCCTTACTGTATCTACCCTTTGCCACCCTCAGCCTCTCAGTCTTGAATGGGCTCACCATATGTACCATTTGCTGCTGTTATTTTAAGATATGACTAGCCTATTGTTGAATATGCCAATCAGATCTCTGTCTCTACCCCAAACGCTTCCAAGAGAAGTGAAGTTCAAACAAGAAACTGGATGTCTAGCATGCCAACTTGTATTACTAACTTAGTCTCATGGCAACTCTCAGCCTTCTTTACAGAAAGCAATCTTATAGCCAGTCATAAGTTAAGAGCCAAGAAAAAGTGCCATCCTCATTTGTCACAGCAAGACAAGAAAGGAGACTGCTATGGAATGACTTGTACCTTCCACATTTAGACACTGAAGTCCTGACTCCCTGTGTGATGGTACTTTGAGGTGGAGTCTCAGGAAAATAATTACATTTCGCTGACATCGTGAGGGTAGAACCGTCATGATGAGATTAATTCCCTTGTAAGAATAAACACTGATGCCCTGCATTCCCTATCTCCCACCACCATGCAAGGATATGCTGCCTACAAGCCATCAGGACAGCCCTCATTAGGAGCTGGTCTAACAGCACTGTGATCTCGAACATTTATCCTCTGCAACCCTAAGGAAAAGTGCCTCACTGTATACGCCTCACTGTATACGCCTCACTGTATATGCCTCACTGTATACGCCTCACTGTATACGCCTCACTGTATACGGCATTCAACCTATGCTATCTCGTATAGCAACCCTCCGAATGAACATAATGAGCACAGTTAAAATCTCACACACTAGCTCCCAGTCCATTCTGATTCAGTAGCATCTTTAAGAAAATGCAGGAATGTTGGTCTTGAGGTTTTGTTTTTGTTTTCAAATACTACCTTCTAGTTCACAACGGTAGAAAATGAAAAACGAAACAGGAGTAGGGATCATAGGAGCTTACTACAATGCTAATTTAATATCACGTAAAAATGAAATAAAGAATACTTACCACCACCAAGAATGTAAGAATCCTGGTGGCTCCCCCAATGTGATGTTTTTTTCCCATCTTATCTAAAATAAATAAAAAAAAAAAATTAAATACTTTCCATGTAGTACTTTGGCCTACACATATTACCAAGCAATGTTTTTCTCCTTTAAATGCTACAGTGGTTTTAAGTTCATCATTTTCATGTTATTCTTTGCTCAGGTTTCCCACGTACTCCTTTTACAAAGTGATTAAGAGACTGATTGGTGTATGAGAAGATGCCGCCATAACTCCCTTGAATTTGCTGCCCACCACTTCAGTGATAAACTGCCATGTCTTGGCGCTTCAAGGCCATCTGTCCATGATCTTTAAGAAGCTGACAATGAACCAGAGAAATGGCGAAGCCAGTAAAGGCATTTTCTGTGCAAGCCTGGCTATCAGAGTTCAAATCTAGGGACCTACATAAAGGTAGTAGAAGGGAACCCCAAAGAGTTGTCCTTCTGCTTCTACACGCATGTCATGACACATGCATTCTCCCACATATGTAAGTGCATGTGCATACATGTAAACACACACGTGCACGCATGCACACACACACACACACACACACACATACACTCTCTCTAACTAACTAATTAGTTACCTGACACTAAGAATGTGTTTCCTACCTTAGTTACTCATTAACTGCCTCCCTGTTAAGTTCTTATCAACACACAGAGTTCTCAGGGGACACTGAAAGTAGGAAGGAGGGAAAGAGTTGCTAACACCATCGTCATCAGGGCTGCTCCAGCAGCAGCAGAGTGAAGACAGCAGCTCATTCCACTCCATCTGTTTCTAACATAAGAGACAGGCTTCTTCTTGGCCCCTGAGTTGCACAAACATAATTGAGCAACACCTTGCCTTCAAGAGCTGTACTCAGTTCCATGAGGCTACCCTGAGCTCCTGAAGTAACTGAGGCCAGGAAGCTCCCTGGCTCTGGTTCTCGTGCTCTGTCTGTCTGTCTGTCTGTCTGTCCGTCCATCCATCCATCTAACCATCTATCTAACCATCCATCCATCCATCCATCCATCTAACCATCTATCCATCCATCCATCCATCCATCCATCCATCTAACCATCCATCCATCTATCCATCCATCCATCTAACCATCCATCCATCCATCCATCTAACTATCATCTATCCATCCATCTAACCATCCATCCATCCATCCATCCATCTAACCATTCATCTATCTAACTATCATCTATCCATCCATCTAACCATCTATCTATCTGTTGGGAGCCGACTCCTAGCCGAAAGTGGCTACCATCTTTACAGCCATCTCGAGCCATATACCCTGACAAGAGACTTGTTTTCAACAGCCTACAACAGCTGAGCACACTCTGATAATTATCTTGATATACCCATGATTTCCTTTCTATCAAGGCCAGGCAGTGGTGGCACACGTCTTTAATCCCAGCACTTGAGAGACCAGAGGCGAGATTAAAGGCGAGACTCAAGGCAAGACTCAAGGAGAGATTAAAGGAGAGATATAAAAGGAGAGACATAAAAGGAGAGACTTGAAGAGAGAACAACAGACTCAGCAGACTCTGTCTCGTCTCCAGATCAGACTCTGTCTTGTCTCCATTCTTCGTGTCTCCATCCCCACTCTCTCTCTTGCTAGGCCCTGACTGGTGGACCGGAGCAGCAGAACGGGCCGTTACATCTATCTATCTATCTATCTATCTATCTATCTATCTAGCCATCTATCCATCTATCTATCCATCCATCCATCTATCTATCTATCTATCTGGCCATCTATCCATCCATCCATCTATCTATCTATCTATCTATCTATCTTCTGGCCATCTATCCATCCATCCATCCATCCATCCATCCATCTATCCTCATCTATCTCTCCTCATCTATCTCTCCCCTCCACCTTTGGTAGTCAAAAATTCAGCCATGCAAAATCTCTTATCCATAGTTTTATAACTAGAACCTTTTTAATTTGATCTTTCAGCTCTAATGATGGGGATGAATGATTTTATGTAAATATATCACTTCAATGTCCTTTCTATGCTTTTTTAAAAATAAGCAGTTTAGTTACTTGCCTAGATTATATTCTTTCTGTTGTTGTATTCAGTGTGCTTTTAATTTGCATGTCTAGATCCTGACTGACACCGCCATATCACACCACTTCATGAAAGAATATTTAAATTGCATTCCTTTTAAGCAGAAGGAAGCACAGACATTAAAGTTTAGTGTTTTTACAACCTTGTTATATGAATCAAGAAAAACGAAAGCCTCTTGTTTGCCTCTGTTTTCTCATCTATAACATAAGCTAGCAATCAATCATCTACCTACAAGGGGTTTGAGAGCTGGTCAGTACACCACTTGAAATAGGGAATACAGAAAGAGTGTAACTGTTAGCTGCTGAACCGTTTGCTTTGACCCTGAAGAATATTTTCACAAAAAAAATTATTACAGTATCACTGTCACCTAAACAAAAAAAACAAAAAAACAAACAAACAAACAAAAACACAGGCAGTGATATGTCACATGGACACACTTAGTTGTTTAGGTTAATACTAAATAAAATTTAGCTTACTAATCAAAACATTGTAACATACCCTCATGGTTATCATACATACAACTAAGGAAGACAAAACAGTTAAATGTAACAAAAAGAGGGCTGAAGCAGAACCCTGTCCCTGAGGAGAGTCTGCTGATACTTGGGAGACCAGTCAGCAGGTGATCAGAGCAGAGCCTGCCATTGAAGATGAATGGCAATGATAATATGGGACTTTTGGAGGGTGACCTTTAAACCCAGTCTGCAAAGGGAAGGGAAGGCTGCCCAGAGGAACTAAGGGGTTACGAATTTGCTAAGTTTCTAAGTGCAGAACACTGGAAGCCATGTCCCTCTCTGCATCTCCCCACTCTCTGGAATGCCCAGGAAGAGGTGACCACTCAGTACACATGTAGAGATTATTGCAGAAAACATTAGAGGTTCCCTGGCTCGTTTAAAAGGCAGCTTCTAGAACCAGCTCGGTAACTGCAAACTTGATCAGACAGAGGCATATGTCTTGGAGAGTCCTCTGCTGAGGAGGAGTCTCAGACTTCACCAGGCACATCCAATCACTCCTTCTCCCTCCACTGCTGCATCAATGAACTGCGACTCTGTTTCTAAGCACACTGCAGCAAAAACCTGTGATTCCTCCAAGCAGTGAAAAGTAAACCTGACACTTCCAAGTCTCTGAAAAGGCAGAATTCTAAACAAATGCTTGCGAGTCTTCTGTTGTAGTTAAAGCTGGAACAGTGAAGCACAGGGGAAAGGGAAGGCTTCTCTTTCCAGAGCTGAAGAAGAGAGAGTATTACATTTGGATACTGTGCTGAGCCCTGGCTAGTAATCTAAAGCCCCTGTGTAGTGAGCTGTCATCGTAGTGTGCTGGCCTGGGAGGAAGAGGCTGAGCTCTATTCTCTTTCCCAGTGGACCTCGGCAGATGCCCGGCTTCCTGGTCAGGTACTCTCTCTGCTCTATGCTCCAAACACAGATCTTACTGTAGGGTGCTAGACTGCTAGCTGATCTCAGCTGCATCTCACTCACATGGATAATACACAGGTTATTGTCTGGCAGTGCACTGGAGAATAAAATCAGGTTTCTTTGTACTCTGATGGGAAGGGTTTATATTTTTTATGATTAAGAATCAAAAGTAGAATCTAGCTTCAAGGAAAAATCTTTTTGTTTTGGTAATAATAAATCAATATAGAAGAAAGACTATAATGCATTTCAAAGAGTTCTTGTATATTGGTAGGACAAGGAAAAAGGTTGTAAGAAACGGTACTAAGAGACAGGCTAGATGAGTAAGCAGGGACCAGATAAAGCAAAGTTTCAAGCCTCAAAGCCTAAAATGTTGAAAATTCTAAAAGAAAACATGGTGAATACTCTTGAAGCCTTCGGGATAGGCAAGAACTTTCTGAGAAGGACTTCATTAGCAGAAGAGTGAACCCCAAATATTGACAGGTGGGATGACATGTAATTAAAAGGGAACCAGTAAAGCAAGTAGGCCATAATAGAATGGGGGAAATCTTTGCCAGCTACACTTCAGATGGAGATAACATCTACAATTTAAAGAAGGAGGGGGAGGGGGCGGAGAAGGAGGAGGAAGAAGACGGGGAGGAAGAAGGAGAGGAGGAGGGGGAGGAGGAGGAGGAGGAGGAGGAGGAGGAGGAGGAGGAGGAGGAGGAGGAGGAAGAGGAAGAGGAAGAGGAAGAGGAAGAGGAAGAAGAAGAAGAAGAAGAAGAAGAAGAAGAAGAAGAAGAAGAAGAAGAAATAGAAATTAAGTACCAAGAAACTAAGGCTGCTAGTCAACAAATGGAAAAATAAAATGAACATACAGTTTTTTGAAGAAAGAACCAGAAATGCCCAATAACTATTTTTAAAGTGTTCAGCATCTATAGTTATCAAGGAAGTACAAATTAAAACCATTTTGAGATACTATCTCACCCCAGTCAGAATACTATCATCAAGAAATCTAACAACAAATACAGGTGTAGATATGGGGGTAAAGGAGCCCTTAGCTAAGTCGCTGTTGAGGTGCAAAATAATATAGCCCTTAGCTATCAGTTTGGAGGCTCCTCAAAGAGTTAAAAATAGAACTTCCGTACGACCTAGTTATTCCGACAGAGCATGCCCAGAGAACTCTTCCTTCCAGAGAGATATTTGCACATCTATGTTTATTGCTGCTCTATTTAATATAGCAAGGAAATATAACAAACTTAGACATCTATCAACATACAAATGGATAATGAAAATTATGTAGAAATTAATAAAAAAATAAGATTTTTAATGAGAGCATGTGGGAGGGAATAGAAAGGGCTCCAGAGTGGGCAGCTATGAGAAGCGGCAGGGAAACAAGGGAAAGGGAAATGTAATTCTATTCCAATTAAAAATAAATTAAAATAAATGTCAGATAAAAATAAAATTGAGTATTATTCAGGTCTAGAAAAAATGAAAACACAAAATTTGGAAGTAAGTGGATGGACTAAGAATGTATAGTATTAAACAAAGTCACCCAAATTCAGAAAGAAGAGAGATGCATGCTCT